GGGGAAACTCCGTGTAATAAACTTAGCAGAAACAGGGGTATATTTCCCCCCCCCCCCCCAAAGGGCCCCCCCCCCCCCCCGCGGACCCCGATTTTCGATTGGTAGGCCTACGTGCCTTGATTTTTTTCGCGCATACCCTTGACTGTATACTTACAGCAGTACTTCATAAATCTGCTCACGCCGGCTGTACTGTATATGCATGCGCGCTTTGGTACTGTACATACCTTTACAGTGACAGTGGGTGGAACTTCGGTATCGTCTCGATGAATGTATGTATGTATGCATATTGCGAATGATCGCCCACACACACCCTTCACACTGACTGATGTTCAAAATGCATGCATGTGTACAGCCTCGATTAATCGCAATTATAATTGCTCCACAACCAGAGGGAGAAGGTTGGGAGGGTGCGAAAACCGGCAGACGGGTCAAGGAGTGCCGCTCTATATGCGACGTTTTAAAAAGTTTACAGACGAGATGTTTCCGAGACCACCCTCTCTTTTCATCGTCTCGACTCGTGGAACAATCGAGGTACGAATTCCTGTCTTAGCGCGGTTCCACGACGATATGGTGTCGCCATCATATTTCGGCTCTCGACATTGTCTCCTTCCAACATGAGTACATTCCATGGGCCGGATTTCCGGGTTGCTCGATGTCACTCAAATCTGCTGGGTCGGAATATGTACAGCGACAGGATTTGTCCAACATCTCACTTTCCCTATCGGCGATGACACCTACCGAGTGCGAGGGAGACGGGAGAGCTTCTTTTACGTTTCATTTTTCTGCGTTAGCTGCAAAATCCCGCGAGAGAAGAGCTTCCTCGTCGTTTTCTATCCTCCTGCAAAAAAGGTGAAGCGTCGTCGCTATTGCTGCCGGCAACCAGGATGTCGACGGCTCAGAACGTCATGGCGTACAGGGTCCTTGGCTGCATTTTCGGTATGGTGTTCATCATCCCGGTGCTACGGTGAGGGCTTTGAGAGAGCGGGCGCGAACTCGACCCCAAATAAAGCACACACAGACAATATAATTACTGTAGAAATGGAATGACAATGGTGACTATGCAGCTAGCTGCCAGCCCGAAGCGAAGACCGTTCCCTTATACATGCATGATATCGCGACCGGGCTGTTGCGCCCAACACCGTCGGCAATGATCTACATACATGTAGTAGAGCATAGATAGTGTAGTCTACGCGCTGCCCATCGAAAGGGGCATAGGCCACATAGTACACTACCCATAGAGAGAGGTAGGGGTGGTCGGGCTTGGGTTCGAGGGTTTTCTTCGTGACTGTAGAAATGAGTTTACGTAGGTTTACGCTCGGGAGAAGAAAACTACGGTGCATGCATTGACCGACGTCGACTGGTGTATGGTTTCATTGTGTAACGACGGTTTCGGATTTCTCCACCGGCAGCCACTTCTGAATATAATTGTCATGAATTAGTCAGAGGTGAAAGTTGCGATTGACAGTTGCTGATTTGTGGAAATTTACCAGGCTTGTTTTGAATGCCAATCCTTTTCCGTCAGTGTTTCGCTGTTGATCTTTGGTCGAGTGCGTCTGTTTGCCTGTGGCCCTTCCTCGCGTGTGAAATTATTTACACACCAACGAACCTCAATGAACCAATCTCGCCTCTGTACTGGTTCAAAACAACTTGCTCATTACACCGAGGTTCTGCCGGGCACTCTTGCGGATGCCTTAGGCAGTGGTTCGAGCTACTGCAACGCTCGACTTTCCCCTAGGGGGTTTTGTTGGGCGTTGGGTGGTATCCTCGCTACAGGATTTTCGACACGATGTTCCTACAATCTTTACTTGGAGTGTGAATAAGTACTACAGTAAATGTTTTTTTGGGGGGGGAGGGTTGGACGACACGTGAACCAACGCAGTTAGGCCCGCGCATCACTCGTCTGTGTTTTACATACACAGTACGCCCGCTGTCTTGCGCTGTCGCACGAACAGGTTTGTCAACGCGAAATATGTGAAGCCGTTCATGAGGAGCCGAGCAGCTAAGCTAGGCAGAGTAATGGGCGAAACACAGGAAGAGCGCCCAAGGCCCACCAAAACATCGCCGCCATTAACATATTGACTCAGTACGATGACAGACACGCCTGACCATGCGCAACATCACCCGTCTGCCGGCTCTCCGGGGTTTGGTGTTTTCCATCTTGATGCGCTCCACAACATGCTGCACGCATCGGGTTTGTTTCCCAGTACTAGTAGGTTTTGCGGCACGCCCCTTACCGCCTTTGATGAGCCATCGTTCGGGCCAAACGAATCTTTCGATATTGCTTACGAAGCGACTTTTACAACACCGCGGCGTATGTTCAGGTGCTGTCTCCCATATCGTCTCTGTCAAGGGATGTTGCGCCTTGGTGGCAACGTGGTTGGCTAGATGTTGGCTTGCTGGGGAAACCGCTCGTGCGTACCACTTGTTTGTCAGTGTGTTGTCAACATGCCC